TCTTGATTTCGGACTTGATGGAATATATGAAGTGGGATTAAAACGTAAATCAAAATGAAAACGCAAATGCCAACTACACGTCAAAGTAACATCTATCTCAATGGTCAATGGAGGTATTCTAGTAGCCATACAAACGAATGACTAGTAGACCTAAGAAACTTTGCATATTCAATATTCATCGATCGAAGAGCTTAACAAACTAATTTGGAGTTGCATTTGATTATACTTTAAATCAGACATTTTCAACGTCCAAAAAGAATAATGGAAATACTCGTATAAATTAACGGTTATATAAGATTATCCCAATATAAAATATGTACACCTCTATGAAGAATACTAAAACATTCGAAATAGGGAGACACGCATGTTTGGTGAACCATGTGGGAATTCGGTGTAAACGTCAAGGAAGGTATGGAGTCAGTCAATTGACATCATTTTAAATCAATCGTTCCCATCCTCTACTCGTGTTAGACTATCTTGTAATAATCGGACCCCAAATCGACTCAACCAAATGATGAGATGACGGGTCAGTCCGGACTCAACGCCAAAAAACACGATCAACAATTAGATTTTACACTCATTTTTAAAATCATTAATTCATGCAATTCATCGACCTAAATATTGTGAAGGTATGCAACTCCTTTTTTTGGATAGTATTTCACTTTGCAGTTTGCACCTCATTTTTAAAATCATTAATGTGTGCATTCTTATTAATGATTCTAAAAGTGAAGTGCAAAATCCAATATCATCCAAAAGTGAGGTGTCAAATCAAATTCCCTTATAAAAATTTTATAGCAATAAACATACAATCAATAAAAAAGTTGAATAATTACAATATGTAGGCATTCATATTGAATAATAAGGAGCTTTTCTGAGTATATAATATTCAAATATATCCACACATTCGTAATATTATATAACACTGTGTGTAGCTTTAATCCTATTTAAATCAATATTTTTACTTGATATTTATTTTATCTATCTATAAAATTATTTTCACATGATTTTGCTTTTGGAATACATCACTTAATTTAAAAAATATGAACCACACTTATTATAAATTCTTAAACTTAAAAATATGGTAAAGTTTGTTTCCATTTATATTTGGAATATTATATACTAATACATTATTAAGAAATGCAATAATAGAAATAATAAGTACGGAGTATCACTATACTTGGTTGATACTAAATAATAACAACTTAGCTTGGTTACGTTGAACACTCACATCAAATTGATGAAAGTTTTGTGTCAGTTTTCCTTTAGGAACAAGACCTTAAGCATATCAAGAGGCAGTGACATCCATAGATGATAGCTTTTGGAAAAAATCCATTAAAAGTGAACTTGACTCAATAATGTGCTATCATATGTGAGTTCTAGTTGATCTCAAAGGGATGTAAACCTATAAACTGTAAGTGGATTTTTAAGTAGTTCAAAGCTAGATTTGTTGTCTTTGGTCACACCCCAAAAGCTATTAATGACCTTAGTTGTGTGGGGCTGGAGAACACAAAAGGTGTAAATTGAAGAGGTCCGAATATTTCTTAAAACAAGCACCCAAATAGTGGTATGAAAATTTTCATAATGCTATGGTAAAAAGAAATAGATTTATTGTGAATGTATCTGACACGTGTTATTAAAAAAAGGTTCAGATCACATCGTGTGATAAATTGCCTTTCTGTGGATGATATGCTCATCCTTGGTACGAACGAGGATGTTGTAACTAAAACCAAATAGTTCTTATCTTCTCATTTTGAAATGAAAGGGCTAAAAACCTAGATTTAGTTCTTGGCAGAGTGGTTAAGGAATTTGTTGGCAGACATTCCACTATGAGGAATTAATGTGTTCCAGTTCCACACTTCCACTCCAATGTCTACCATCAGTATTGCGATGAGCAATGTGTATAATGGTAAAATGAGACATGATATTGATTTTAATCCAACATAGGATTGTAAGTTTAGAATATAATTTTGGTATAACACTCGATTTTTACGTGACTTTTTAGTCTAACGTCCAAGCCTGCTCTTTCTCATTAATATGCTCTCCTCACCAATTACATAGTACATATGTCTTTAACTCAAATAATGGAGGTTTGAACTAAGCTAGAAAGATAAGGAGTAGAGATGAAGAATTCCTCCAGTAAAGGAGAGCCAAAAGGGAAAAAAGGATCCCTTTAACTGGAAGCTTGGCTCCGTATTTATAGATCGGGGAGGGGGTGTAAGGGTTTTTCCCCATGGGCCAATGGGCCGTGTTGGGCCGGAATGGGCCGGGTAGGCCGAAACGGGTCGGTTGGCCTAAATGAGTCTCGCCGACTGGGCCCCGTACCGGGGCGGTGTCTTGGGCCTCTGAACGGTAGTGGGCCGGGGTAATATATACCCCAACACAAGTCTCTCAGTTTCTTGAGTAGTGAGCCTAAAAATCTATTCGAGAAAGTATGCTCTTGTTCACATCCTTCCCTGCCTTCCACTGAGAATGCTGCCCTTCTACGTCAGAGAGCATGTTGAGATAATGGCGTTGCACATCCGTTGATGGAAAAACAACTCGTTCGGGAAATCTCGTTGGGAAATTCTTCATGGAAATTCGTTTGGAAATTCACTTTGAAATCTCGTTCGGGATGGCTGAACCTTATGGAAAACAGAAACTCATCCGTTGTTGATATGTCATTAACCTAGGCAGCCTACAGATGGGTTGAATGGTGGCCGCGCCAGCGACGAGGTACCAGGACTGAACCAGGAAATGGCCGAACGATAGATTTACTGTACGTATAGCGGCGTCGGATCAGGGGCGGTGTATAGGATAAGATAGTCTCATACTTTCCCGTTGGACAAAGGTCTCATACTTTCCCGTTCAGCCAAGGGCGTTACTGTGAAAGGACTCATATAACATCTGCTGGGAGTAGGCCGTTACCCTACTACCCGTGGATCCTTCGGTCACGGGTAAACGTTGCACCTCAAGGTGTTGTTGACGTGCAGCCCGATCAAGCCCCTTCATGGAACTTCTGTTCGGAGCTCCGCGGGTCCTCCAGGTGGTCAGGCGTCCTGGAGATCTCCTCCCACTCTAGCTTTCCGTCGCTCGGCAGTTTCCCCGGTCGGCATCTCCGCAGCCGGGCGAGGAGTCCGGACTTCATCTTTTGCGAAGGATGGGTTCGTGGGTTGCCAACTGTGGAAGAACAGGAGAAGCTCGAACGACTTCTTGAAAATCTTGATCGGCCTAAATATCTTGAATTCAACTAGGCGGTGAGTGGGGTCATGTCTGCTCCAAATGAATTACTTGGTGAATGTCGGCCCAGACGATTTTCCACGTACCGGATGGGCCCTCATCTGTGAGGAAGGCTGCGGTGTCCATTATCAAGCCGGACCAAATTCCCACAGACGGCGCCAATGTTGATTTTAATTCAACATAAGATTGTAAATATAGAATATAAATTTGGTATAACACTCGATTTTTACGTGGAAACCCGGAAAGGGAGAAAACCACAGGACTTTTTAGGCTAACATCCAAGCCCGCTCTTTCTCATTAATATGCTCTCCTCACCAATTACATAGTACATATGTCTTTAACTCCATTAATGCAGGTTTGAACTAAGCTAGAAAGATAAGGAGTAGAGAGGAAGAATTCCACCAGTAAAGGAGAGCCAAAAGGGAAAAAAGGATCTCTTTAAGAGGAAGCTTGGCTTCCTATTTATAGACAGGGGAGGGGGTGTAAGGGTTTTTCCCCATGGGCCAATGAGCCTAAATGGGCCATGTTGAGCCGGAATGGGCCGGGTAGGCCGAAACGGGTCGGTTGGCCTAAATGAGCCTCGTCGACTGGGCCCCGTACCGGGGCGGTGTCTTGGGCCTCTGAACGGTAGTGGGCCGGGGTAATATACCCCAACACATTTATCTTAGACATGCTACTATTAAGCTGCTAATAAAAAACAACATATTTATCTGGTGAACTCTGAAAGGAGCTTGGTAGTAACAACAACAATAGTTATAGTTGTCAAACGGGTCAACCAGACCCAACCCGTAACGGGTTATGCTTTATATGGGCTAAACAGGTTGGCCCGCGAGCCAATGTAAAAAAGTATTCCTTCGGTCCCATTGGATTTTGTCAAATGCAAAGTTGGTGACAAATAAGAATAGTAAAAATTGTGATTGAAATTTGTGCAGAGGGGAGAGAAATGTACAGAACCACAAATTAGTTGTTTTAATAGGAAAGTGTCAAAATTTTGAGGGACAATAATAAAAAAGGGAAAGTTGGCAAAGTCCAATGGAACGGAAGGAATATATGACAAAAGATTCTTTAAAAGTAATTGTGGTGGAGTATATATTTATATTAGTAAGTAGTAATAAGGGAAATATAAGAAATCAAAAAACTAAGAACCCAATACTTGTTAAGTTTAATTAAAAAATATTAAATACTAGTTAAACGAGAATTTGAAAACTATAAGAGGGTATGTAACAAAAATAGTATAAAAGTAAAGATCTATTTAAACTTTTTGTTTGATTATTTGTAAATCATGACTACTAGTTGCTAAATATTGTATCGAACTTCACATAAAATATACTAGTATGTTTCAACATTTTATTTGAATATTCATTATAGAAATAGTAATTACTTTTTTTATAGAACAATGTTGAAGATAATAAAAGTCAAAACTATATGTTTGTATATTGACATGCGGGCCAACTCATTGGGCCAACTCACTTAAACCCGCAACCCGCTAAACCGGCGAACTAAATGGGTCAGAAATTCACAACTCTAACCCACCAATAAATGGGTTTAAACGGGTCAGCCCGCGGGTTTCGGCCCATTTTGACGGCTCTAACAATAGTAATATGATACGGAGTACTACTAGACATGAAGAGATAGCATGCGTGTGTGCCTGTGTGGGTGCATGGCTTCTGCGTTTGTTGTACAGCATTCATCTCCAAATCAATCTTGTCATCTATATAATTAATCTCTTAGCTTTAATCACAGCATTTAAATGTTCATAGCACTAAAAGATAGAAGAATCCATTCTTGTAGGTTTATAAAATGGTATTTCGGCTGCTTTCATCATCCTTATAACGAGGAATGGATTATTCTTACTATTGACTGTACATTGTTGCCTGAACTAATAAGTAAGAGGTGTGGCACTGCTACAAATCCTTGAGGTCTGTTAGGATGGAAAGACTTTAGAGAGCCAAGTCCATATCATGATGTTTTTAGAAACGTACTACGTACTACGTAGTATTATTTATCATGATACAGATATATTTAGAGAGCCTGAAGTAGTACGTAGTATGTTTCTAAAAACAGATAAAAGGTGATCCAAATGTTATATGATGAAATATTATGTTAATCTTTCATTTGTATGAAACATCAAATATCGAATGTATAACAAGATATAAACTAAAAAAATCAAAATATTCCTCTCTAAACCCCTCCAAAACCATCCATCCAAACCTTAGTTTTGGGCAAAGCTGATTATTTACATGTTCCAAGGCATCAATATCTGCAAAATCCCTGTGATTGGCATATATCCTGAAAAAGATAATAAGTGGACCAATCCTGCAATCCATATTGAAGTAAAAGTTAGTAATTACCAAGATATCCACTAGCTTCAAAGAGTGTAGTCATATTGTTGATTGTATTCCTGAATTTTCAAATGACAGTTGAAAGGATTTATCATCCTAAAGAGAATAAGTGAGGTAGCTCCACCACACTCTCATAACTCAAAAGATATTCTCATCAAATGTGTAATATTCCCAAACCTTTGCTGGTGGCTTTTCTTCCCCATCCCAGCTTTTTTGCAGAAAAATACTTTATCAGTGTGATGGACAAACTCGATGTTCTGAAGTAGTGTCTTGGGGATTTTCAGACCAGAAACAAAAAAGCAGAGTTTATTATTTACCATTAAAGTTCGGATAGCAACACAGCCAGCTCTTCATCAGACACCATAACATCAATGCATGCTCCTAGCGAATTTGCAAGTCTTGCAGCAATCTGATGCTTACACTGCAGTCTATTAACTGTTCAGAAAACAAATTGAGAAGGGGGCAGGTGGACCAAAGTCTTTAGTTCAATGAATTCTCACACAGAGTTGTTCCCCTCTGTTCACAACGTCGTAAAAGAAAGAATAGCAAGCACAATAATGCTCTGGGAAGCACAAATACTCCTCCTTCTTCCTTGACTCTCCAATGACCTGAGAAAAAACACGAACATAAATGTTAAGGACCATGGGTTGTTAATTCAAAATGCGCTTCAAACACTTAAATCATGGACATGCAAAACAGACAATCCAACCCCATCCTAGAACATGACACCTATAACAACGGGTCTCATCCTGAGAAGTTATCAGGATATACTAGTTAGTTATTTTATACATGTTGGTCCTAAAACGGACGCTCAGACTTTTCTTGGAGGCAGTGGCAGAAAATTTGTGACTACCCATTGATATGTGAAATTAGGTACAGTATTCTAAGGATATAGTGACAGCAATTCAGTATATAAAAGGGGTAATTTTTGTTGTACACAAAATTGCATTTGTGTACACAGACAAGGTGTGTGTAATTTTGTATACAAATGTAATTTTCCATATAAAATGGCATGAAGTACTAGAGTTACTTGTGAGTTCACAGCCTATATACAAACGTTTACAAGAATATCTTCACTACTTAATTACTACTCCCTCAGTCCTGCTAAGATTGTCGTCCCATTTTACCTTTTTGGGAAGTCCCACTAAGATTGTCTCATACAAATTAGGTAAAGTTTGTGTGACTCTAAATCATTCTTACTTTATTTTTACTTTTTCAATTCAATATCGACCACATAAACTCACTTTTCTTAATAACTGTGTCACTTTCTTCCGTCCCAATGTTAGTGGGACGGAGGTAGTAATTAGGTCTGCCCCAAATGTGGGCTAGTGCTAATGCTAATGGGCCGGCCAGCCCGTTAGAGCGATCCTTTGCTAGCTAACTCATGTCCTAGGCCTAGTCAGGTCTGCTCTTGGGCTGAATGGGCTGTCAGTATCTGCTCCGACCCATTGCCCCACCCATACCAAATCCGAGAAATGCTTCAACAGCAGAATTTAATAACTTGAAGACTGTAATTCCATTTGATTACCTGAAAAATGGAACGCCCGCTGGGTTGACCGCAGATTCGTTTGACTCCTCTTTGATCCACTACCCTCGCTGCACGCTCGAAATTTTTCCCAAAAATAAAATGCAATCTAAACAATGAAGTACAAAATTTATCCAAAAAATCCCCCAAAATTCAAACTGAGAAGAAGAAGAAGAAGAAGAATGTACCGACGTGGAGAGATGGTCATCAGTCACTGCTCCCAGTGCTCCGGTCCAAATTCAGCGCCATCAACGCGGCGGCGGCAGAGAACGCCAAAGATTGGGACCACAATAGAGACGTGAATAAAATTCAAAGTCGGGAAAAAACAAAATTGAAAATTGAAAATTGAAGGAGGTAAGACTGTAAGAGGAGCTGGTTTAGTTTGATAATTGAGAGGTGACAACCTGACCGAGTTGACTCAATGTCATTCCAGATGGAATCTGCGACCATAAGGCTCGTGCTCATTTTCCAAAACCCGGCGACTGTTGACTAGCACCGGCGGCTATATGACGAGGACCTCAAAGTATTACTCTGATATTTTGTTCGCTAAACTGAGATAAAAAGGGTCATGCTCATTTTTCACTTCCATAAACTCATACTCGGTATTAAATTAAAGATCATTCGGTCTGGACACATAAAAAAGTTCACCAAAAATTGAGATAAACTGTTTGCTAAAATGCAAAATTGGACTTTTCTTCTATTCACGTACTTTGAGTCTATTTTATTTATTAATGTATTATAAATTAAATTTAAAAAAAAAATATTATTAAATTCTTCTCACTTCAAATTTTCAAAATCTATTTTTTTTAATTTGTTTACTAATAAAGAATGAAAGATATTAATAGTCAAACTTGTATGATGACAAACATAAAAAGTGGATCGTTGCATTTAAAAAAGAACGGAGGAAGTACGTAGCAGAAACTTCGAGACAAATACCTCTGAACATAGCTAAAGATCGACTACTCCCACTTACACAAGCAATTCAAGAATAAGGTAAACTTTCAAACGAAATAATAATAAAACTGCAAGTGGTCAAAGCTAAACTTGAGCATCTTCTTCCAAACACAAAACCGGAGAGAAGGGGAATGGACCGTCAACACTTCATCAGCCTCTTTTTTCTGGAACGTTCCAGTTCCGTTCTGAAGTTATATTTGGAAGAAATTATTTTCGCCCCCTACTGATCCTAGAACATTTTAAAATAAAATGAGATCGAAATAAGTAACATATGTCTCGTTGTCTCGAATTCAAAATTGCATGTTGTAGTAGGTTACTAAATATGCCATCAATTCAATAAATAGTCCGAATAATAAAAATATTCCCTCCATATTGAAAAGTTTCCTACACTTTCCTATTTGGGATTTATTTAAAAGTTTCCTACACTTGTCCTTTTTGATAAGTTTTTTCTTTAAAAATACTCAATTACCCTTACTTTTTCTACTTTTTATCTTTAATAGGGATCATTTAAATACGGAAGGAGTATTAATATTCGTTGTATACTTGTATTCCACAATCGAAATGTCAATGAGTATTATGTATTAGCTGTCTAACATGCAAAACAGTTAAAGGACTCCAATCTACCAAGTATGAACTACCTTCTATCAAAGGTTTCACTTCTCATAATAATGTTTTAGCGTTTTTTTGAGGATTCCTTTGTAGTATTGTGTGTGATGTAGTTATTTTTGCTTCAACTTTATGATTCTTGTATGTATACTATTAAGCTACAATTTTTTGTTGTGTTAGCATTTTTTCGTAGAATCCTTGATGTGTTGTAGTTTCTTTTATCATGAAGTTTTTTTGTGTGGTTTTTTAAAACGATTTGTTGTGTTTTTGGTGTTGCAACTTTTTTAATTTTTCCGCTGCAAATTTTTGGCATGTTTTGGACCGGGACAACAGTATGAAATGTCTTGTCCCGTACCGAAGCATCATTCTAAGTAGAAGTATAATGATGTTAAAATTTACATATGACATGAATTTAAGATTGCGCAGTCAGATTATTTTACTTCAATCAATTTTTGACGCACAGAAATGCTGTAATACCACCGAGGAAGTATTTGCGTATATTTGTGTCATATATAGAAAGAAAATGAGTCATAGAAGCAACCCAGTTAAAAGGTACTCTGTATATCATCGAAACAGTCACAGAAATCTTACTTCTTTTGAAGAACTCCGTATATAACATATGTGAGGAAAAGAACAAATTAATGTGTAAACTATGAGATCCAAAATAACACATGAAACCCTGATTCGTTCTCAAGAACTCTACTTATCTACAACCTTGAAGCCATCTTTCCATGAAAAGGTGGCTCTTTCAAGTTTCAACCCAAAAAGCTTACTCAAACTTGTAAATATGGCCAAGTATACCCTAATCCTTAATTACATTCTTCCTTGTTTAAGAAACTCCAGGACTTTTGCTCTTTTATGTGACATTGTCTGTATTAGATGAGAAGATATCCATGGGAGCACTAACATAGCCAACAGTCCCTTTACTATGGGAAGATTTTTTGTTGTTATTATCCAGATATATCACTACCACTGTAATATCATCATGGAAATGACGCCGAATTCCCCTCTCAATCTTCTGGATGTCTTTGTATTTCATCTCCCTCTTCTTAGCAGCCTCCTCTATAGCTGCTGCCACCAACTTCTTGGCTATTCCCTGTTCAAGTATACTACATATTATTTAACCGCCCCATTATCTCTGATTCACTTCCGGTATTTTGTGCATTAAGGTATCTTTGGATCTCGGAAAACAATAGGAAAATAATTAAACAGAAACTGCCAACTAAAGTTTTTTTCTTACATTTGGTTTTATCTTGAAATATGATTAGCGCTTTAATATCTTTTATATATATCAAGATTAATAATTGAAATAAATAAATCAACCCACTTTGAAGAAGCATCTAGATTTTTGGTTTGAGCCTAAACTTATATTTTCAAAGATATTTTCTTTCCTTCAAATTTTCTTACCCTAGTAATTCCAGGTTCCAAACGGATTCTAAAAGCAATAAGGTCAATGCAGTTATTGATGGAAACTTACAGGTCTTGGGTTTTTGTGCACCATTTCCACTACGGCTTCATCACTCAAGTGTTCCCAGAGGCCATCAGAAGCAAATATCAAAAATAAATCATGTGGTCGGATCTTTCTAGTAATGATTGAAGGTTCAGCTGATAGTACAGGATGCTTCAGGTGTACTGGATTCCTGAATTGCTGGAACATTGGGTGTCTGTTAAACTCGGGTTTCTTGAGATAGGCATCACCAATGGATCTTGACACCTTTAAAGTGAAAAGTATAAATATTAGTAAAAAGTTTTGCACAAGAAAAAACAAGAGGAAAAAGCGACCTGCTCACATTGCTTAGTTGTGTTGTAGTCTTCTAGAAGGCGCTAGGCAGTCCCTCTGGCAATAGTTTGGTGCCAGGGGTGCATATGCCGTAAAACCAGTGAGAGCATAGGCTTGCAGGAATCTTTGGAAGAAACTTTTTATTATAAAAGCATTTTAGTCTCAATAGAAAATGACAGTCGTGGAAAACATTTCATTTAGTTAGAGAGTATGACATGAAGTATTTTAAGATGACATTCGCTAAATTAACACATTTACTATTACTTATTTGTTATAGTCCATAGCATCCAGTATTCACTAAAGACTTTGGCCCGCACTCAACATGTTTTCTAGATACACCACCTTGTGCCTCGCTAGGGCTGAGATGGAGCTAGGTGGGAAACTTAGAACGCTACCTCAGGTTAAAAAGCCAATAAATTGGTTAGCATTGTATAAACAGGTAGCTTATATTAGGCACAGGATGAATTTGATCTATGACCTGGCAAAGATGTAGGAGATGCTAAGCCTTCCTTGAAATCACAAAACTAATCTTTAAGATATCTCTATCTCTGTCCCATGCAAGAAAGACTGGCTAACTTTAACTTCAGCTGCATGTGACAGTGGACTGGGGAGGGGGGAGCACATAGCCCTTTTAAAATCAATAGGATAGATGCTTTGGTAATTCTCTGCAAAAGACGGACAGATAATGCCATTGTATAATGGGAAAGGGAACATTCCGGATGGGGGAGCTGATTTGATTCTTATCTAATATCTATAATGATGAGAATGACCTTCTCTCTTATGGTGACACTGAGGGAATAAAGATCCTTTGTATAAAATATCCACCATTCAACAATTCAACGATATCCACTATGTCTTGCTCTAAATCTTGGGATGACCATCATAATTTGAAGGGTTTTCCTGAAAACTCTACAAATGTAGATTACTAATATCACATGTCTCTAGAGAGATTTTTCCCTTTCTGGATAAGTGAGCATACCATAAATGCAATTGGACTAGATGATGCTACAAATATTCATGACCAAACCAATTGAATAAATCATAAAGAACTGTTTTAAGAACTTGATTCTCATGTTATCTTAACTATTACTACGTATCAAGCAAATGCACATTTATGAATAAACCATACAAGAGCAATTATAAACTAGATAAAATAGGATGAAAATGTAAAAAAACAAAAACAAAAAAATAGAAGGGTAAAGAGCATCTCTATATGGATTACCTGAATTATGCCTTTGATTCTCCAAACCCCATGACAGTAGAACACAATAGGTGAATCACCAGGATGGAGTTCTTCAACCTCCTTCCGCACCTTCTCAGAAGATACGTTATGGTCTGTAGACAACCGTTCCGCTACAACAGATTTCCTCTCCCCATCCACACCTCTCCTTCCCAGGACTGCTCTTGAATCCCCTAAATTAGCCACATACAATTGACCATCAGAAATCGCACCCACAAGGCAGCAAGATCCAACTGAAGCAATCTGTGGCATTACTGGCAGAGATGTCTTAACTAATCCTATGAAATCCTCTTCTGTCGCATGAAAAGCCTTTCTAATGACATCCGTTGATAATCCCCCTTGCTCTCTGGCAAATTCTGACCAAAACAGAGTACACAAATAAGATATAACAGTGGCTAGAAATCATTCAAGAATTGCAAGTTTAGAGAATTCAAACTCTCCCATCTTTTTTGTTTCTCTATTTATTTCAAACTCTCCCATCTTAATACACGAAATTTCAAATCCCTGGATGAAGTCGAAACATTGAGCTTAAACTAACAAAGGAGAAAACACGGTATCAAAAAGCAGGAAGCACCATAATATCCCAGGGCTAGCGAACTACTAGCTCACCGATGCACATGTAATTACACACAGATATATATTGGGGAGAAAAGACAAATCAGGGTAATTCACTCACGTTGCATATAAGTAAAGAGATGGCGGTTGACGAATCGGGAGGCTTCAGGGCCGCCGTGGCCGTCGTAGACGCCGACGTAAGTAGCTGATGGCGAAGTGAGAACTTGGCTCTGGTCCTCGAGGGACATATTAGCCTGAACAACGGCGATTGAAAAGTCTCCGGAGGCGTGAGGCTTCAAGTCCAGGTGCCACAAAAGTCCATCGCCGTTCCGCCGGCCAAAACACCTCTCCAATTGGTTGAAACACGATCGCATCATGGTCCACACTGTTCCTAACTCCTTAAATTTGAGAAAAAACCGGCGATGATTTGAAATAAATATGGTGATGATGTTGACAGATACTGATACCTAGGATAGGAAATGTTTTGTTGTTGTTTTTACCTGATAATTATATCAATTTGGAACATGTATAGTTTTGTATGCATATATTGTAGAAGATTGTAAATGGAACTCCAGATACCTGGGTATGGAAATTGAGGGCGAAGAAGATTATGAAAGGGGTTATAGAATCAGAGGAGTAGACGAAAGAGTCTCGGAAACCCCGCGTTGGGAAAATGGAATTCAGAAACGGCGTGATCAATCGCCTATCTTTACATTTCTACGCGTTTTTGCTATGATGACATACAGTGTAAGCGGCAAGTGCACTGGTCAGCTTTCATATTGTTTTAGGGTTCGATTGGCGAGGACTCAAGATGTTTTGGAAGAGAAATATGTACGATTTATTTTGTATTAAAGTGTTTTTAATTGATCTGAATTGAAATTTTCGATTTGGTTTGGTCAATTTGATTTTGCTTTGGTATGATTTGATTTGAAATCATATGTATATGTATATTTTACCACTATCAAAGTATAGTCTCTTTTGATCTGTTAAAGTTTATAGTTCGATCTAATTTGACATTTAACTCAAATAAGTTCAAGTAATCATACTTTTTTTGTAAGAGAAAGTTGTGTTTACTTTCATAATTATCACAACAATGTTTGATGTACACATTCTTATACCCACATTATACTCACAATGTTTGTAAAGTGTTTTTTTCGGTGAACCCGATCCACATACAATATTTTGTTTGTGCAAAATATTGTTTGTGAACTGGGATTCACAGACAAAAAAACACTTCACAAACATAGGTGGATATAAAAGTGGGTATAAGAGTGGGTACAAACATCATTTTTGTAATTATCAAGTGTCCAATAAGTACGGAATTACACGTAGGGGTCAATAGGCCAACAATGTGTGTAGTAAGTAATATTGTTTACCTAGTAATTAGTCTCTTCATCCCACTAACAATGGTACAAGGAGTGGCACACATGCCAATAAAAGTGAATTTATGTGGTTGATATTGAATTGATAAAATAAGAATAAAGTAAGAATGATTTAGAACCACACAAATTTTATTAATTTTAGTATGAGACAATCTTAGAGGGACGAATCGAAAAGCAAAAATGGGACAATCTTAACGGGATGGAGGGAGTATTATCTAGTGTCCAATAAATAAGGAATTAAGGAATGATTAGATTTACACATGGTGGTCAATAGGCCGGCCAACGATGTGTAGTAATTATTGTTTACCTAGTATGATCCATAATGTGTATAGTAATTTCAATTTACCCGTTGAGTTGGATGAAAAATAGCCTTGAACGAAGGGAAAAGGTGTTTGAAGGGAAAATAGCCTTTAATTTCGATGGTACGAATAGTCTCTAATATGTACCATGTCTAACTGGTGAACGTTGAATTGAAGGAAATATAGTCTTGAACGAAGGAAAAAAGTGTTTGATCAACACGAATTTGAACACAAAGGAAGGGAAAATAGATCTTATTTCATCATTAGAGGATCTATGGGCTCTCATATAAAAGATATTTGTAAAAAAAATTAGACGGGTCACAAAGGAGAATTGATGACTTAAAAACTCAAATTAAGATATACAAGAAAAAAAATCAACATTCTTGTGTCATGATAGTTAGATCACAATTTAAGGTGGCATTATGAATTTATGATGACTTGATTGAGATGTTATGGTTTTATGGAAGCTTTTTATGTTGTACTTCGGATTGACTTGCTTGTATTTTCCTTTCTTGTCTTTTCGTTTACATATTTCTTCTTGTACTCCTTCTTGCTTTTTAATTACTAAAGTTTTCATTTAATATACATCTATGCATGTGTGTGTGTCTAATTAGGATCAAATAAGAACACGATCTTATGACAGAAATGAGAATGAATTTGGAACGTTGGATTTGAGTATCGTGAATTATGTAAAACATAAACGTGCACTTTCATAAATTTGAAAATGTGCATTTGAATTGTGCATTAGTTTAACCACAAATATGCATATTTGAACTTTGCAATATTTTAACTATAAATGTGCACTTCCGTGAACCATAATATGCATCGGTTTGAGCAGTTCTCATTTCTCATGACAAGAAGTGTTTTACCGCAACCGGAAGATGTGTGTGTACATATACTCTATCCATAGGATGATATTCAAATAAAAAGAAGCTTTTAGGTGAGGAATGTGAATGAATATTAGTCGTTAGATTCGATTACGTTATAGTAAAGCGGTTTGTGATGCGTTGAAATGTGCAACTTTGTGCGGTGACATTTTCGCAAGTATTTAAAAAAACGGTACACCTCTTTAGTGAAACATGAAAGTGATTTAGTGCAACATCGTCAAATCCTATTGCAATATGAATTTGTTTTAGTGCAATGTCACAAAATTTAAATCTTAAAGCAACATAAACTTTGTTTTAGGGCAGCATGGGAAATCCAACGAAGGGTCGTGTACAACATTTATGAGGTCCTAGACAATTATATACTCTGTAATAGGCCTGGACTCGGGCCGGGCGGCCCGACCCGGAACCGGCCCGGCCCGGCCACTGTAGCAACCGGCCCGGCCCGGTGGCCCGGTTCACCGGCGGTTCGGGTCGAACCGGCCCGGTGGTTCCCGGTTCCGGGCCCGGGCCTTCCATATGGTGAACCGGCCCGGCCGGTTCGGGCCCGGTCCGGGCCGGAAATAATTTTTTTTTTATTTTTTTTTGAAAATTTTTTATGTTTTGGGTTAGATTAGGTATTTTGGTCCATTTGAGGTGGTTTGGGGTGGTTTGGGGTTGAGAAAGAGGGGTAGGGGATTAAATAAAGAAGCCAAAAAACAAAAAAAAAAAAAAAAAATAGGGCGGGTGGCCCGGCCCTGAACCGGCCCGGTCTGGCCCGGAACCGGCCCGGAACCGGCCACCCCCGGTTCGGGCTCGGGCCTCAATATTCTGAACCGAGGCCCGGCCGGGCCCAGGCCCGAGGCCCGAACCGGCCCGGTTCAGTCCACCCCTACTCTGTAACATTAAATTTGAGATACCATCTTATAAATCTTTTTTTGTATAACAAAAAGTACATATATAAGTCGTATTTCTTTAAATTATTATTATTTCATGTGCCCCATTTGGTAAGATATGCTTCCTTTTTCTGGGTCTACTAAGAAATAACAACATTTTTTCGAATTCAACCGTAGTAACACTTTACTAATTACTTTCCAAGTTTATCAATCATTTAAGTTTTTTATTTTTATGCAACTGTACTTTCTTTTCCTGAAAGTTACAATTGTAAAAAGAATAACTATATCACTTATTTTATTTAATCATGTAATTAACAAATTCATACATATCTTACCATTTTGGTAGAGGGAGTATTATACTAAAATAGAACGAGGAAACGGTCCAGCTCAACTGGTCGCTGACTCATCATCGCATGCGGGAGGTCTTGGGTTTGAAACTCCATGAAGGCAATTTCAGTCTTGTTTACCCTAGGCTCCTCCTGGCTCCTCTCCTTGACTCTGGGCCAGCGTAAAAAAGCATGTTAACACAAGTGTTAGAGTACCTACTTTGGGTGTACGAGAGACATCAACAGATATAACACGCCAAAGGAACACTAAACGTGAAGAAAAGATGAGACCCAATTGCAGTCAAAACTAATGATGTTTTTACTTGGACTGTAATTCGTTGGTCTGGTCTGGTCTAGTTTGTTTCAATCTGGTCTGGTCTGGTCTGTTTAAGTATGGTCTAGTCTGGACTGGTCTGAATTGGTCTGGTAAACGTTTGGTCTCTGTATATTTTACAAGTGCGGAAGTCAAGCCTGGTCTGGTCTAGTCTGATCTGTTTAAGCCTGGTCAGGGACTAAAAACAGTCCAAGTAAAAATATCCTAAGCCTCACTAACCAATTATTTTAATATTTAGACAGACACTCTATCTTGGAATCGAGGGTAGACCTCCAAGCTACTCTCAAAGTTATGTCTTTGAGCAAGGGAATACGCCTACAAAGATGTGAAAACTAAAAAAAAAAAAACTAGTATTTGCAAATTTAGAAGGCCCAAAGTTTAAGTCAATGGCCTCGTCTATCTCTTCTAAGCCCACTTGAGTGACCTTGTTCGACAAATTGAGTTCTTCATGAAAAATTACTAGGAAATCTTCCTCTATACAGAAGCAGGAGAAAAACAACCTACTTTTCCCGCCCAAAGTGCTAGGCCAATAAGGGTCGGGCCAGGTTACAAACACAGGCCTCGGCTAAAGCCATTAAAGCACAATCAATGCTATGTACTGGAATTTTGATTGAATTTTGCTTTTTACAAACAAGAGCAGCGTGTAAAGTTATAAAACTCTTTTATTGTATATGTCTTTACGAAGTATTTAACAATTTGGGCTTCTCAATCGGCTAAAAAGTTTGAAATATTTAGTCATAATCTATATTGCGCAATCCTTTCAAATTAATGTGTCGTGCATCCCTTGATGCATGTTATGAAATATCCACTGGGTTCAATGGTCCGAATTATCAATGCAGCGCAGAAATGTAGTATAAATACATCCCCTATCTCAATTGTTCAACATAGTTCATCCTTGCATTGCAACTTAAGTATGGCACAAAATACAGTTCGATCGGGTATGTGGTCTCTCATAAAGGATGTGGACCACACCAAATCCACCTAGGCTATAAGGCTGAAGGTTGTTAGAGCTTATGAAGTTCAAGCTCATTCTAGGCGTGGAGAGATCGTGGAGGATGTCTTCCATCACGAAGAGATATAACACATTCTTTTTCATACAATTAAATTTGATGACACGGATGCGGAGAAGGTACATTTTTATGGGTTTTGAAAAGATATAAATTTGGGGTTAGGAAAAGATGTATATTTTAAATTAACTTCGAATTACAAATATATATATGTGTGTGTGTCTACAACTTAAATGATTTTTTTAATGAGTTTAAGAATAAGGGCTTATGGATTCCATAAACTAATACTAATACAATTAAACGTAATAGAGCGTGTCTACTGGAAATGCGGGGGGAAAGGTCCTCAAAGACACACGAACGGATATAGTTGTCAAGGATAAGGTAGAGCTACTTTACGTTTCACTTTTTGTTACAAAGGCTCATCTTCGGTCTCACTAAGATTCAAACTTTTTTATGGTTAAGGTGGTTGCGACTATAGATACAAGTGAAACCCTGTGAGATAAGCTCGGGAAGAAGTTTTCATTGAACTAAGATGATGGTTGACAAGGAAGGGATATAGTTGACAAGGATAAGGTAGAGCTACTTTACGTTTTACTTTTTCTGTTGCAAAAGACGTAAAAGCTCATCTTCAGTTTCACTAAGATTCAAACTTTTTTATGGTTCAGGTGGTTGCTACTATAGATACAAGTGAAACCTGTGAGATAAGCTCGGAAAGAAGTTGTCA